AGGAGGTGAGAAATAAACCCTGCGAGGGGGAGGGGAGGTGGGAACACATCACACAAACAGAGCTGAGGTGTTTGGGGAAAGTAAACTGATAGCAGATAAGCTGGGTTCTGCTGCCGCTCTAATTCCTATTCACTAAACTTTTACATTTTTATGTTCTGTTCTCGTCTCCCGAGGCTAATTAAAAACGTCGGATCGGACAAACGCACCGGTTTACTAACGAAAGTGGTTTAAAGGGGACCCAGAGTTTAGAAAAACAAAAGAAGAGTTGTGACGTTCGATGCAGGAAGTCTGCGGGAAGGAACGGGATGTTTTCTCCAGGAAGCACCTTGTAGTTCAGCACGAGAGCTTCGCTGGCAGGAGGGAACCAGCAGAAGGTCTTTGGATTAGCACAGAGCTCTGAGCTCACGGAGGTCCAACAGGCAGACGTGGTCTGCACCGCTCAGGTGGACGGGAGGCTGCAGCAGCAGCACAGTCCCTAAAAACCTCCTAAACTACATTTTAGGTTTTTTCCCGTTGAGAGCGGCCGGCGCTCCGGACCAACGGGCCCTAAAAAGAGTTGTTTCAGTGTCTAAATGTCGTAAATGCTCCTAGTTGTTATAGATGGCTTCCTGAACAGCCTCAGTTCAGAGAAATAAAGCCTACGCCCTCCAGGCCAATAGACTAATGCCTACGTTGGTCTTCCCTCAGACTAGCTGCTAGCCCATCAGTCCACATAGCTCCATGTCTCCAAACAGAGGCTGTTCATGAAGCTGTTCCCTTTGAGCTTTTTATGAATTATTTATAAAATTGTAACAGAAGCAAACTTCTAAATGCCCCAAATATTCTTTTTTTTAAAGAGCAAGTCACCCCCTACCAGAGTATTACTCAACCCCCACTTCCTGTTTGAAAAATGCAACAAATGCTGTTGCCTAGCAGACCGAGAGGGCGGAGCCGCTAACAAACACACACACAGGCTCACAACGACATTGTGACATCATATGGTACCAGCTAACGTTCAAGGGTACCTCTTAGCCAATAGCGATGGCAGATTTAAATTCAAATGCAGTGCAGAGTTTTTACCTGACAGTTCTAGGCAGAACATTTAAATTTCAACTAAAATGCACTAAAGTGCTAAACTACTGACGACACGTGTCTGCAGCACGATCAGACACGCATTTATATAGTTTATCAGAAAAAAATGTTGATTTGGGGGCGACTTGCTCTTTAAGAGTTTCCTGAAATCGGGAAGCTTTGTTTTCCATTTCTGAAGCAAAACGACAAGCAGCAGAACTTCTGATCATTCCGGTTCGGAATCATCCGGGATGTCAGCAGGGCAGCAAAGCTCCTGAAGCCCAGACCAGAGGGGGAGAGACCTCCGCGGGTCGGACAACAAAAGGGTAGTCCAGCGCCGCTGATGTTTGCATGAGATTTGTTTCTGTTTGCTGATGTGGGCGGAGCTTTCAGACGGGATTCATGAATCTCTTATCCCGCGTCATCAGAACAAAGCCTGGCGGGCTTCATTTGGAAGTGGGTTCCTCTCCTCCTGTCCCTGTTCCAGCGAAAGAGAAAGGAGCGAGAGAGGAAAAGACAGGAAGAGACGGAGGCAGGAACAGGAGGATGAGTGGAAGGACGGGGCAGAGCTGTTACTGGCTGCCAGGAGAAACGCTTCCATCAAGATGCAGAAGCTTGTAGTTCTGGTTCTGGTCTTTTGGATCCAATCTGTGCTTCACTCCTGCACCTGGGTTAACTTTATTCTGCTTTTCTCCATTAGTTTGATAACAGCTGCTTCCTGGTTTGCTTTAATAATCCCGGATTATTAATAGTGATGTTTAGCTATTACAGATAATCCAGAACCTCCATGAAGACAGAAGGTGGTTCGTTTCATGAATAAGAAACGTACGTAAGCCCGGCTGTAATAATAAAATTACTGTCATATTAATGAGAAAATTAAACATTTTTCATGCAAATTTTCCATGTTTGGGGAATTTTTTAGTTAGTTTTATTTTCTTTCTGTGGTTAAAGACGACATCTGGTTCATTTTATCTGCTTTTGTTTGTTTGGTGAAGAGATTTTAAATCTAAAGGATGATTCAGTCCATCTTTATTCTTGTTTAGTTGATAAAAGCTGAAGAATAATTATTCACTCAGTTAGTCGGACCGGTCGGGCTTCCTCCAGAACTGTGGCTGAAGCGAGGAAACGGAGCGGGTTTGTGGTCCAGATGGAGCCGGAGGAACGAGGGAACAGCAGAAGGAAGTAGGAAAGGTGGAGGGGAGGATTGTGGTTGGGTGAGCTCATCGTGGAGTGTGTGTGCGTGCGTGTGTGTGTGTGCGTGTGTGTGTGTGTGTGTGTGTGTGTGTGTGTGCGTTTTCGCAGGCCGAGGTGGGAAGAATGACAAGTATGTGGGACTTTTTCCAGAGCTGTGGTTCATTCAACAGGAAGAGTGAGACGGGAAACGGGCAGAGAGACAGGGAATCAGCTGCTGAACGTTTCTATATGTCCCAGATAGCGCGTCTGTCGGATGGGTGCGCTTGATTTATTTTCCTGCTGCGTTCCCTCGTATCTTAAACACACAAACATCAGGATAGAGCGGAGGGTGGAGCGGGTCAGGGCTGCAGTCATTGTTGTTCTGGCCGACAGACTTCCTGTTCCAGGCAGCTGCGACGCCCATCGCCGTGACCCGGCGGCCTCCAAACGGACCAAAATACACACAAACTACTCGTTCACTCTGGATCCTACAGAACAGCTGATAGTTATCGCCACGCACACACGCGCACACACACACACACGTGCACACACACACATGCACACTCACACTAATGTACACACACTCATGTACACACACACACGCATGTACACACACTCGTGTACACACACACACACGCATGTACACACACTCATGTACACACACACACACACACACGCATGTACACACCACATACACGCATGTACACACCACACACACTCATGTACACACCACATACACGCATGTACACACCACACACACTCATGTACACACCACATACACTAATGTACACACACACGCTCACACACACACACATGTACACACACACACACACACACACGCTCACACACACACGCTCACACACACACACGTGCACACACTCTGAGGCTCAGAGGCGCTTCGGTCCAACAGGAAGTGGATAAACGCGTCTCGAACACCTGAGTAACAGGTGTACAACTTCCCTCTAAAACACGAACGTTTAGCTTCTCTTTTACGGTTTTAGTTTATTTTCTGCTGCAACTTTAGAACAAACAACCTAAACAACAACAGGTGATATAGCCCCGCCCCTTTGGAACCCTTTGGCTCAGGTGGACCTCCCAGTTGAAACGGGTGACAGGAACTGCAGATCAGTTCAGATGTACTTCATACCCACGAAACCTGCAAACGTAGTTTTTATGGTTTATAAATCATAATGTTGGTATTCTAGCTTTCTCCCACCTGCTGCGTCTCACCGCCATAGAACCGATGGCTCGTCTCTGATGCCCTAAGACGCTGGGAAAGGCTTACCATGGCAACCCCACTGCCATGCATGGCCCTAATGAGCCACTGGCATCAGCTGTAACATTTCTGTTGACTTTCCTGCTATTATTACAAAAATAACCTCTGCTATTAACTGTTGTTTGTGTTTTCTTTTGGTAGACATCAGGATGTTAACGTTTGATCTGATAAAATGTCCCAAACTGGTTTTCCTGGAGAACCAGCATCAGCACCCAGCTGGGTTTAGGGGTCACACTGATGCATGTTTGATCCTGTTTTCCTGTGGATGACATCAGCTCGTGCTCCTCTCCTACGGCAGTTTTCCTCTTGCTTCCAAACCTCAGCTCCCACATTCCTCCGCTGGGATTTTTCTCTGGACGTTCTCCCGCAGGCCTTGGCTTCGCCACAGTCCGGTGCTCGTGTGCCGTAGGAGCCTGGCAGGAACACCCCCCCCCCCCCCCCGCCCGCTGGGTCACTCAACGGGAATTTACCCCACAACCAGTCACAGAGGTGGAAACCTGCTCCGGTGGGATGGAATGGAAGTTGTGGGACTTGTTTTGTGGCTTTGATGAATTATTGATGACACAACTTTGGTTTAAAGGAGTTTAAACCGGTTAGAAAATAATCTAGTTTTTGGTTTGGAAACTCGTCTGAATTCTTTTGTTTTTTCACAACAGGAAATGATGTAGTCAGTCCTGTTCTGCTGCTTTTGTCTCTTTAGTCAGCTTTTATTTATTATTACTATTACATCTGCTGAGTCATCGTTACTCTGATTACTCCCAGGTCAGGGCCGATGTTTCTGCTCGGAGGTCAAACTGAACCTTTTTGTTTCTGACGCTTTCAGACAGACGTGAAGTTTGTTCCGAGTCAGACGGCTGCTTGTGTGTGTGTGTGTGTGTGTGTGTGTGTGTGTGTGTGTTCAGCCTTTTCCAGCCGCTCACTCATCTAAACGTCTAGTCCCAATAATCCCCCGTCTCCCCGTTGTCGTTCCGCCCCTCCCACTTCCCTTCCCACTCCTCTTCCTCACATCCTGTTATTTTTATATTCCGGTTCATAATAATTCCCGTCCAGTACTTCACATTTAATCTGTTTCTGTTGCTTTTTTGTAAACGAGCTGTTTAATACTGAGACTTTTGGGTTGGGGTCGCGTAACGTAGGCAGACTCGAAAGACTCGGACTCCTGGAGTCTCTACGAAGGAGGAGAGGGGATGTTCGTTTATCACGGGCATCCAGAGCAGGAATCTGACTCTAACCCTGGTGGTCTCCCTGTGAATCAGAACAGTCCGTTTTTCTTTCCCAGCTGACTGAGGCTTGTTTGTAAACAACACCAGCTGTTATTGATGTAAACAAACTCTTAGCTAACTAATCGGGTCAGCAGGGTCCTAATAGAATCAGTAGAACCACCTAGAATCAGTGTTTTTTGTATCTTTGTTTGCTTCCTGGTTTTATTGCAGAATTACAGATTAGCTCCGCCCCCCGATGCTTCAGAGGTCCAGACTCATTAACCCTCTCCCCCCCTCAGGCTGTGGAACGGGAGCAGGTGGACGTCATCCAGCCGAGGCTGCAGCACGTCAACGCCGTGGGTCAGGGTCTGATCCAGAGCGCCGCCAAGCACACGGACACCCAGGCGCTGGAGCACGACCTGGAGACCACCAACCTCCGATGGAACTCGCTCAACAAACGGGTCTGCCTCTAAAACCCCGGAGTTCTGTCCTCCCTGGAGCGGTTCGGCCCGGTTCTCATCTCATGCTTCTGCCCTCAGGTTGCCGAGCGGATCGCCCAGCTCCAGGAGGCCCTGTTGCATTGTGGGAAGTTTCAGGACGCTCTGGAGCCTCTGCTCAGCTGGCTGAGTGACACGGAGGAGCTGGTAGCCAATCAGAAGCCTCCTTCAGCCGAGTACCGCGTTGTGAAGGCGCAGATCCAGGAGCAGAAGGTAGTGCTGCTGTTCTTTTTGTGGGTCAGATTTAGTGATGGGGATAAAACGGCCAGATTAGGATTACATTTACTTAAATGTTTAAAGATTATCGGAACAAACGGTCCGTTTTACTCCAGGAAGAAACTCTCTCCTCTGAATGTCCTGTTTAAGCTGCCGGTTCCGGTGTTCACGTCTGGAACCGATTCCTGTTTTGGTTAGAGCCGAATCAGCTGATTCGTTACGTCGCCGTGTTTAAAGCAGAGGAAACGAGTCGCCTGAAGGAAGATGTTTCTGCTGAGTCACCAGCGCGACTCGGCATTAATCCGGTCCCTCCCAAGTCCCACCTGTTCGCCGTGGATAATCCTTCTTCTTTGTGCTCCAGCTGCTGCAGAGGCTGTTAGACGACCGCAGGCCGACCGTAGAGATGATCCGAGCGGAAGGAGAGCGGATCGCCGCCACAGCAGACTCTCAGGACCGGGAGAAGATCCGGATCCAGCTCCAGAATCTGTCCGAGAGGTGGTCGGATCTGCTGGGCAAGGCCAGCTCCAGGTAAAGCAGGACTGCCGGGAGCGTTGAGACGGAGGACAAAGCCGGTTTTTGAGTCCTCGTCCTTCATCTGTCCTTGGTCTCCGACCCGTTTCAGACAGAGACAGCTGGAGGAGCTGCAGGTTCTGGCTCTTCAGTTCCACGAAGCCCTGGAGCCGCTGGGGGAGTGGCTGAGCACCACCGAGAGACGCCTGAGCTCCGCCGAGCCCATGGGAACCCAGACCGCCAAAATCACCCAGCAGATCGTCAAACACAAGGTACCGTTCTGCTGGACCTGCTGCAGTCCCGCCGGGCCCAAAGGAAGCACGCGATGGGCTCGGATCAGCGGTCCCTGGTCTGAGTTATGAATTATTACGGATTTATTGTCCCTAAAGGTCTGATTTCTTCGCTCTGTTAAAAAGGTTTGCTGGTTTTAACCACAGAAATCAGTTCTGACCAATCAGATCTGAGGATTTCAGTCCGCCCACTCGTCCCTTCTGCCGGTGCGTGACTGTAGGTGGTTTGGAACGTCCTCCTGTCTCTGCTGCCTACGGAGGAGAAGTGTTTCCATGTTAGTTGAGCTGCTTGGTTTCATCCCGGCCCTCGAATGTTCCTCCTGATCGGATGTTTCAGAAACGCCTCGCTCCGGGCTTCTGGAGGGGGCGGTGCCTCCGGTGGCGGCGGAGGCGGAGAAGATCCGGGCTCAGCGACAGGAAGTGGTGATGATGTTTAAGACGCGTCTCACCAGGCTGTTGGGTTGTCTCGCTGGACTTAAACGCTCCAGCTAACGATGACTGGTTCGTGTTCCGACCAATCAGATGTCAGATTTAATTCAAGTTTCAATTCAGTTCGATTCAAGTTTATTTATAAAGCGCCAAATCACGACGAGTCGTCTCAAGGACCTCCACACAGTAAACGTTCCAGTACAGGTCATAACGCCAATCAGTAAAAAGTTTCCTATATAAGGAACCCAGCAGGTCGCATCGAGTCACTGACTAGTGTCATAGTCTTTACAGCAATCCTCATACTAAGCAAGCATGCAGCGACAGTGGAGAGGAAAACTCCCTTTTAACAGGAAGAAACCTCCAGAGAATCCTGGCTCAGTATAAGCACACACACACACACACACACACACACACACACACACACACACACACACACACACACACACACACACTCACACTCACACTCACACTCACACACACTCACACACACCACTGTTCTGTTGGTTTAAGTTGCTTCATTTAAATCATCTTAATGTTTCAGCTTCTTTTGATTTATGATTTCTCATCTGCATGTCGTTGGTTTGAGTTTTCATCCCATCTGTTTTTTTGTTTGTTTGCTTTTTCCACTTCCTTTGATATCTCTCTCTCACACACACACACACACACACACACACACACACACACACACACACACTTCTCAGGCGCTCCAAGATGACGTCTCCTCCCGAGAGGTCGAGGTGGACCACCTCGAGTCCCTCAGCCAGTCGCTGTTCCCGCTCAGCTGCACGGCCGATCGGGATTGGCTGCGTGAGCGCGTGGGGGCTGTGAGGTCGGGTCACTCGGAGCTCTCTGATTGGTGCTCGCGGCGGGCGGGGCTGCTGGAGCAGGCCCTGGCCAACGCCCAGCTGTTTGGGGAGGAGGAGGTGGAGGTGCTGAACTGGCTGGCGGAGGTGGCTCAGAGGCTGGATCAGGTCTCGGTTCAGAGCTACCGACCCGAGCTGCTGGCCGAGCAGCACAAGCACACTCTGGTACGGCTTTGTCGTCACGGCAACCCCACAGGTTCACCATGGAGACACGAGCAGCTTGTAAACAGGAAACAAACTTTTATTGTGAAGTAAAGCTTTAAATTGAACAAAGATTAGCTTTAATGTTTAAGTTTGTTTGAAGCTGCTGTTTGGCGGAACTCCCGCTCAAAGAACAACAATTTTATTTACTTATTTTGTTTTTGTTTACTTTCCTCTCAGGCTCTGAATGAAGAAATCGTGAGCAGGAAGAAAACCGTGGACCAGGCCATCAAGAACGGCCAAGCTCTGCTCAAACAGACCACAGGTGGGTTTCTCCTGGTGCATCAACGCGTTTTATAAAAACATGGCCGCCTCCGCTACGGAAGTGTAGCGACAGCAAAAGTGTTTCTGTCCATCCTCTGCACGATGAGCTGAAGATCCACGCGTTTGACCAAATGACAGGAGTTTAGTAAAGCTCTGGGTTAACGGAGGACCCGTCGTCTCCTCCTCCTGCAGGTGAGGAGGTGCTGCTGATCCAGGAGAAGCTGGACGGGATCAAGTCTCGTTACGCGGAGATGACGGCCGGCAGCAGCAAGGCGCTCCGGACGCTGGAGCAGACGCTGCAGCTCGCCACTCGATTCGCCAGCGCACACGAAGACCTCAACCAGTGGCTGGACGGCGTGGAGGCGGAGCTCAACAACGTGGAGCCTGATGCCTCACCGGCCTACCAGGAGAGACAGAAGGTGGGAGGAGCTGAATCAGGAGAATGGATGATTTCTGGTTCCATCATTTATTTTAGAAGCGCTCCGATAGTTTCAGCTCTTAAAAAATCTTCGTGTTTGACGACAGTTTGGGTCCTTCCAGCACCAACCCGCCCACAGACACGTTTCCGGGGAAACGCTGGTTATTCCTGGAGCGCTGTAGCGTTTTAGAAAAGCTGTTGAAATGATGACGTTCTGATTCTCCAGTGACATTTTCAGATGTGAACAGAAAACAGACGTGAACAGAAAACAGACGTGAACAGAAAACAGGCGTGAGCAAAAAACAGACGTGAACAGAAAACAGGCGTGAACAGAAAACAGGCGTGAACAGAAAACAGGCGTGAACAGAAAACAGGCGAGAACAGAAAACAGGCGAGAACAGAAAACAGGCGAGAACAGAAAACAGATGTGAACAGAAAACAGGCGTGAACAGAAAACAGATGTGAACAGAAAACAGGCGTGAACAGAAAACAGGCGTGAACAGAAAACAGGCGAGAACAGAAAACAGGCGTGAACAGAAAACAGGCGAGAACAGAAAACAGGCGAGAACAGAAAACAGGCGAGAACAGAAAACAGATGTGAACAGAAAACAGGCGTGAACAGAAAACAGACGTGAACAGAAAACAGATGTGAACAGAAAACAGACGTGAACAGAAAACAGATGTGAACAGAAAACAGGCGAGAACAGAAAACAGGCGAGAACAGAAAACAGGCCTGAACAGAAAACAGGCGAGAACAGAAAACAGGCGTGAACAGAAAACAGGCGAGAACAGAAAACAGGCGAGAACAGAAAACAGATGTGAACAGAAAACAGGCGTGAACAGAAAACAGATGTGAACAGAAAACAGGCGTGAACAGAAAACAGGCGTGAACAGAAAACAGGCGAGAACAGAAAACAGGCGTGAACAGAAAACAGGCGTGAACAGAAAACAGGCGAGAACAGAAAACAGATGTGAACAGAAAACAGATGTGAACAGAAAACAGATGTGAACAGAAAACAGATGTGAACAGAAAACAGACGTGAACAGAAAACAGACGTGAACAGAAAACAGACGTGAACAGAAAACAGACGTGAACAGAAAACAGGCGAGAACAGAAAACAGGCGTGAACAGAAAACAGGCGTGAACAGAAAACAGGCGTGAACAGAAAACAGGCGTGAACAGAAAACAGGCGAGAACAGAAAACAGGCGTGAACAGAAAACAGGCGTGAACAGAAAACAGGCGTGAACAGAAAACAGGCGAGAACAGAAAACAGATGAGAACAGAAAACAGATGTGAACAGAAAACAGGCGTGAACAGAAAACAGGCGTGAACAGAAAACAGGCGTGAACAGAAAACAGGCGTGAACAGAAAACAGGCGTGAACAGAAAACAGGCGTGAACAGAAAACAGGCGAGAACAGAAAACAGGCGTGAACAGAAAACAGGCGAGAACAGAAAACAGATGAGAACAGAAAACAGGCGTGAACAGAAAACAGGCGTGAACAGAAAACAGACGTGAACAGAAAACAGACGTGAACAGAAAACAGGCATGAACAGAAAACAGGCGTGAACAGAAAACAGACGTGAACAGAAAACAGACGTGAACAGAAAACAGGCGTGAACAGAAAACAGGCGAGAACAGAAAACAGGCGTGAACAGAAAACAGGCGTGAACAGAAAACAGGCGAGAACAGAAAACAGGCGAGAACAGAAAACAGATGAGAACAGAAAACAGGCGTGAACAGAAAACAGACGTGAACAGAAAACAGACGTGAACAGAAAACAGGCGTGAACAGAAAACAGGCGAGAACAGAAAACAGGCGTGAACAGAAAACAGACGTGATCAGAAAACAGGCGCGTTTGGGGTCGTCACACAAACCAGCTGGTTTTTTCTGCAGGAGCTGAAGAAAGTCTCGGCGGAGAAGCGTCTGGTTCTGGACACGGTGAACGAGGTGGGCAGCGCCCTGCTGGACCTGGTACCGTGGCGAGCCCGAGAAGGTCTGGACCGGCTTGTGGCTGACTCCAACCAGCGGTACCGACAGGCTGACGAGACCATCACTCAGCGGGTTCAGCTGGTGCAGGCTGCCATCCAGAGGTCACAGCAGGTACTGCACTCGGATCCAACACCGGGGAGGTTCTGTGGTGTTCAGAAGGTTAACGCTCTGAAACGTTCTGACCCTTCCAGTACGAGGAGACGGTGGACGCGGAGCTGGCCTGGGTCGGAGAGACGGAGCGGAAGCTGGCGTCTCTGGGTCCTCTGAGTCTGGAGCCGGACCTGACTGTGGCTCAGCTCCAGGTCCAACGGGCTTTCAACATCGACATCATCCGACACAAAGACACCGTGGACCAGCTGCTGGGTGTCAGAGACGAGGTTCTGGAGGCCTGCAGCGACGCTCAGAAGGACGCTCTGATGGTCCGTTTCAGACACGAGAAGAACCAGAACCAGTGTGAAGCTTTGAGGTGGTCACTAACACATTTTTGTTTGTTCCCCAGGTGAAGACGGACTCTCTGAGTTCTCGGTATGATACCGTGAGCCAGAACCACAATGAGCGGTTCTTGGCTCTGGAGCAGGCTCAGATTCTGGTGGCCCGGTTCTGGGAGACCTACGAGGAACTGGAGCCGTGGTTGGGAGAGACGGAAGCTCTCATTGGTCAGCTTCCCCCTCCAGCCATCGACACAGACGCTCTCCGGCTGCAGCAGGACCGGATGAGGGTGAGGCTCTTGGGTTCTGGTTCTGGTCGTGTTGGGCTCAAACGCTTGCTGATGTTTGCTTTGATGTCTGCAGCTGCTCAGAGAGTCCATCGCCGAGCACAAGCCGCACATCGACAAGCTGCTGAAGATCGGACCTCAGCTGGCCGAGCTCAGCCTGCAGGAGGGGGCCACGGTGACGCGGCGCTACGCCGACGCCGAGAAACGCTACCTCGCCATTAAAGAGGAGGTGAAAGGTCGCGCTACCAAGCTGGACGAGGCCGTGTCTCAGTCTGCACAGGTACGACCGGACCGGACCGGACCGGGTCAGGGTTTGTTTACTAAACAGCACGTAGCTGCTTGAGTTTAATCCCGGCTCAGATTATGAAGTTCCAGCTAATCTGGTGAATTCTGTTGTTTCCGCATGAGGATCGTTGTCGCCACCTACTGGTCCAGTTTCATCACTACATCGTTTTTAGAAAGAGATGAAAAATAAATCTGGAAGTTTTTTTTGAGCATTAATTTTGAATCAGTTAAAATATGAAAGTGTTATTTTTATTCATTCCAACTCGAGTTTGTTCTGTAGAAAGGTCAGCAGAGGGTCACAGAACCTCATCCAGCCCGTCTGGATTAGGATTAGGATTCTTCTGTGGCTGGCATGACTGACTGAACTCACCGTGTTGTTTCTTCACCCTCCATCTCCAAACCACTTCCTGTTTCACCCCACCCACCTAACCCGTCACTTTAACCTCTGACCCCTCCATCCCACCCCCCTCACTGTGGATGTGCTGTGTGTTGCTCCTCACCATCATTCTCTTCTCGTCACCGCTCACCCAGCTGGTGGAGGTAAGACATCAAACACCACTCAGGATCTTCTGTCACGAGTGCTTCTGGTGTGTGACCCAAACCCTCGGTTCTGGACCAGAACCTCCCTCCTGTGTGTGATTTCCTGTTAGGCTCCTAGAATCAGGCCCTCTCGTCTCGTTTAGTTCCCTCAGATTTCCGGTGAAGCTCCTGTTTGACATGTTCCCGAGTCTGTTTAGGGAATGATCCCTCCTGTGTGATGAAGTCTCGTCGTCGTGGTTACGCCAGCTGGGCGATGCGATGAACTCTGGAGCGTCTGGAGGGTCGTTAAGTTTAAAGTTCTCCATTTCAGGAGATTTTCTGCTCTAAAGGTTTGGGTGAGGTCCATCAGCTGCTGCTCAGCTGGGAAGGCGAGGGAAGGCGGACGTTCCGAGTCCAACGTGAATAAAGTTTTTATAAAAACGTCTGTTTGAGGATCCGCGCACCACCCAGACTCTCTCGGTGTTTCCTGATTTCAAAACGTCGCCCAGCTGTCAGTCGACTCGCTTCCTCCTCCTCATAACGACCTCCTCCCTCCAGTTCCACGATAAGATGGACCCGCTGCTGGAGACCCTGGAGGGGGCAGTGCAGCGGCTGCGGCAGCCTCCTCCGGTGGCGGCGGAGGTGGAGAAGATCCGGGAGCAGCTGGCAGAGCACCGAGCTCAGGGCCTGGAGCTGGACAAGCTGCTGCCGAGCTTCTCTGCCCTCTGCGCCCGCGGGGAGGAGCTCATCGGCAGGGCGGCCCACGACGACCCTGCAGCTCAGGGTGAGTGGCGGCAGGAGGGTCAGAGGTCACGAGGATGTGGGTTTGAAGGAGAGCTGACTGGTGACCTTCTCTGCTCCTGCAGCCGTTCGTTCCCGCCTCCTTCGCCTTCGCTCTCTGTGGGACGAGATCCGTCAGCGAGCTGAAGAGAGGGAGGGCAAACTCAGTGACGTCCTAGACCTGGCCGGGAAGTTCTGGTCCGACGTGGCGGCTCTGCTGAGCACGCTCCGGGACTCCCAGGATATCGTGAAGGAGCTGGAGGACCCGGGAGTCGACCCGTCGCTCATCAAACAGCAGATCGAGGCCGCTGAGGTACGGAGGGGGGAGGAGCTAACAGGGGTGGTCCTGGTTCTGTTGGGTGACTCTGATTCGTTTGATTCAGGCCATCAAGGTGGAGACGGACGGTCTGCGGGAAGAGCTGGAGTTTGTGCGGACCCTCGGGGCTGATCTCATCTTCGCCTGCGGAGAAACGGAGAAACCCGAAGTTAAGAAGACGATAGACGAGGTCAGAACTCAGGATCTGTTCATCCTTAGGAAGAACGTCAGCTGTTTTCCCAGTTTGTCTGTTAAAACCGGAACGCTGCTGTGCTCAGATAAACGCTGCCTGGGAGGGGCTGAACCGGACCTGGAGGGAGAGGATGGAGAGGCTGGAGGAGGCCATGACCGCCTCGGTCCAGTACCAGGACGCTCTCCAGGTTCCTACATCCGATCTCACTGAACATTAGAGCTGTAATCAGTCGGAAAACCGTCATCTCATCCTGAGTTTGTCTCATTTCCAGTCGATGTTCGACTACCTGGACAACGCCGTGATCAAGCTGTGTGACATGTCGCCCGTGGGAACCGATCTGGGAACGGTCAAACAGCAGATAGAAGAGCTGAAGGTCAGCATGAGCCAAGAACCCGTCACTCAGATGCTCTCCAGCTATTTTCATTCAGACCTTCTGTCTTCTGACCTCCGCCCTGAGCAGCAGTACAAGGTGGAGGTGTACCAGCAGCAGATCGACATGGAGAAGCTCTGCCACCAGGGGGAGCTCCTTCTGAAGAAAGTGTCGGACCAGACCGACCGGGACATGATCCAGGAGCCGCTGACCGAACTCCGGCACCTCTGGGAGAATCTGGGTGATAAAATCACCCAAAGACAGGTAAGAGTAGGAGACGCGGGATGTTGGACGTTCTCCTCCAGCGTCTGAGTGATGTTTCCTCACAGCACAAGCTGGAGGCGGCCCTGCTGGCCCTGGGTCAGTTCCAGCACGCCCTCGCAGAGCTGCAGGCCTGGCTCAGCCACACACACGCGACTCTGGACACGCAGCGACCCGTCAGCTCCGACCCGAAGGCCATCGAGATCGAGCTGGCCAAACACCACGTACGTGAAGTCCTGCAGTCTTGTGGAGATGACGTTGGAATGTGAAGCTGCGTTTCTGTATTTGTTCCTGAGTTCTTTGTGCTCCTGCAGGTTCTGCGTAACGACGTCCTGTCCCACCACGCCACGGTGGAGACGGTGAACAGTGCCGCCGCCGAGCTGCTGGAGTCCTCTCCGGGAGACGAGGCCAGCTGTCTGCGGGATCAGCTGGAGCAGCTGAACCAGAGCTGGGAGGGTCTGCTGCTGAAGAGCCGGGAGCGCCAGAAGCTGCTGGAGGACGCCCTGCAGCAGGTGTCATCACGGGAACATCTGATAAACGGGGTTTCATGTTTTAATCCTCTGCTGGGAATAAACCGGACTTCTCTGGACTTCCGTAGGCTGAAGGTTTCCATGGTGAGTTGGAGGAGTTCCTGCAGTGGTTGAGGAGGACCGAGAGCCAGCTGTCTGCAGCCAAACCAACAGGGGGTCTCCCGGAAACAGCCAGGGAGCAGCTCCAGCAGCACACGGTAAACGCAGAATACAGCTCAGATTACAAGCTCCAGCCGTAATCCAGGGATGTTTAGAAGCCCTCACCCAGCTCGTTTTAACTTCCTGTGATCTTTCATCGTCTCCACGACGATTTGTTTTTATCGGGTCGGTTTCCTCAAACAGAGATCGTGTTCATGACCAGCACTTTGGTCAACGACGCCGTGGAAATAAAGTTTATTATGATCAGCGAAGGAAGTCGGTTTGCTTTTTTACAAGATAAAATATAAGGACAAGAGACCACACACACACACACGCACGCACGCACACACACACACACACTTGTTCTGAAACTCGAGTCATCTCCTGAGCCGTCTGTCTGCAGGAGCTGCAGGTGCAGCTGAGTCAGCGAGCGGACCAGTACCACCGTCTGCTGGATCAGGGAGAGTCCATGCTGCTGGCCCGGGGAGGAGAGGAGGCAGGACCCGGGACCACCCAGACCCAGCAGAACCTGGCCATGCTGCAGAACAAGTGGGCCAGCCTCAACACCAAGATGGACGACCGTAGGGTAGGACTGCTGATGAGGGCTTTAAGCTTTCGGTTTCTTCCTGCTCGGTCTTTAAATTCTGTCTCCTAAAAACCGTCCAGGCTAAACTGGAAGAGGCCGTTTCCTTGGCAACGGGCTTCCAGACGTCTCTGCAGGACACCATCAACTGGCTGACTCAGGCCGAGCAAACCCTGAACATGGCTCAGCCTCCGAGCCTCATCCTGGACACGGTCCTGTTCCAGATCGATGAGCACAAGGTCTGACGCCCGCCGCCTGAAGTGTTTGGTGTTTACAGACGACTAAATCCCAAACAGCACTACGTTTCATAAAGACTAAAATGTGCTTTTTTCTGTTTTCATGTCTTTTCATGGTTTAATTAGTTGCTTAAACTTTTTATTTGCTTTTATTCTCTTCACCCGTTTATCGGATAAACCAGTTTACCTTTTACAGTTCAGTCGTTTTAGTTTATAAAACCGTTGCAGCCGGCTGAAATGCTTTTATTCTGAAGGCGAGTTGTGAAAAGTACCCAAAGCAGCAAAATGCCACTTCCTGTCGTTCTGTTCAACAAACGGTAGTTTTTAATTTATGTCATCAGTTTGATACAGAAATGAGTATGTTTGTACCGATAACCAGTAAGCACTGTTAGCGTTCGCGCTAGCCATTAGCGCTAGCCATTAGCGCTAGCCATTAGCACTTATGTAGAAAAGTTAAGAAACAAATAAACAAATTCTGAGTTATAAAATTACAGATAACATGTCAGAAGAAAGTAATGCTTTGTTAAATGTTTATAAAGAATGTATTAATAAGTATATTTATAGGAAATAGGAATGTAAGAAAATATCGATATAGCAATATATCGCGATATTTTTTCCTGCGATATTATATCGAGGTTCAAAAGCTGTGTATCGATTTTTTTGGAAGAATTTACGTGCAAACTTTTGTGTATTTTCTTTTCTTTTGGTGCAAATCAAATGCCGTCCGCTAGTCAGCAGTAGGGTGCAATGGAGTTTGTTTCCACCACTGAAATGTAAATCCCTCTATTATGGTTCAGATACCTCATGTTAATCATGTTAAGTATCAGTTTGGACCATCTATTGAATTTTCCTACAATAATTTTAGTCTAAAACAATCGCTATAATTGTCCGACTCAATGTATCGCAATATATCGTGATATATCGTATCGTCTCCCCTGTATCGTGATAAGTATCGTATCGCCAGAATTTCACCAATACACATCCCTAATAGGAAACGTTGTTGTTTACTGAATGTTGTTGTTGTTGGTGAGCAGAGCCACTCATCCGCTTCCTCCTCCAGGTGTTTGTGAACGAGGTCAACACCCACAGAGAGCAGGTTCTGGCTCTGGAGAAGGCCGGTTCTCAGCTCCGCTTCGCCAGCCTAAAGCAGGATGTGGTTCTGATCAAGAACCTGCTGCTCAGTGTCCAGGCCCGCTGGGACAAGCTGGTTCAGAGGTTTCTGGACCGGGGCCGACACCTGGATGAGGCCCGCAAACGAGCCAAGCAGGTACCGGTGACCGTGAAGGATTGTTGCTGTTTAGATCTGTGGCCTCGCTACCTGATGGCACATTTAAGGATGTCTTACACAAACGCGCCTGTTTCCTGGTCTCTTCAGTTCCACGAGGCCTGGAGGAAGCTGACAGACTGGCTGGAGGAAGCTGAGAGGAAACTGGACTCTGAGCTGGAGATCTCCAACGAACCCGACAAGATCAAAGTGCAGCTAGCCAAACACAAAGTACAGTAGAACCAAACCCGTCCAGCAGGTGTGTGTGTGTGTGTGTGTGTTCTGCTCACTAATGTGTCCCCGTGTCCAGGAGTTTCAGAAGGCTCTGGGATCCAAGCAGCCGGTTTATGACACCACGGTGAGGTCTGGGAAGGCCATGAGGGACAAAGCTCTGCTGCCTGCAGACCAGCAGAAACTGGATCACCTGGTGGGGGAAGTTCGAGATAAGTGGGACACCGTCTGTGGCAAGAGCGTGGAGAGGTGAAGGGGAGGAAACGTGGAAGCGGGCGGAGGTATCGCGAACTACGTAGAACACTAAAGTGTCCTCTTTCCTTCTCCTGGCAGACAACACAAGCTGGAGGAAGCTCTGCTGTTCTCAGGTCAGTTTGCAGAAGCTCTCCAGGCGTTGGTGGACTGGCTGTACCGCGTTGAGCCTCAGCTGGCTGAAGACCAACCTGTCCACGGAGACCTGGACTTGGTGTCGAACCTCATGGACACGCACAAGGTGGGTTCACGACCTCGTCTCACGCTCACCTGCTGGATCCTTCCTGACGTCTGCGTGCTCTTCACCTGCAGGTCTTCCAGAAGGAGTTGGGTAAGAGAACCGGCAGCGTCCAGGCTCTGAAGCGTTCAGCCAGGGACCTGATGGAGACGGGCCGGGACGACACGGCCTGGGTCAAAGTTCAGCTTCAGGAGCTGAGCAACCACTGGGAGACGGTGTGCGCTCTGTCGGTCAGCAAGCAGAGCCGCCTCCAGCGGGCGCTGAAACAGGTCAGAGCGCAGCGGGGACCCTGACCCCCCACCACAGCCGCACGCGCCCCTCACGCTTGTTTTCCTCCGTCAGGCGGAGGAGTTCCGCACGGCGGTTCAGGTGCTGCTGGAGTGGCTCTCAGAGGCAGAACAGACGCTCCGTTTCCGCGGCGTCCTCCCCGAAGAGGCGGAGACTCTGCAGGCGCTGCTGCACTCTCACAGAGACTTCATGGGGACGGTGGAGGAGAAGAGGGCCGACGTGAACAGGGCTGCTGGCATGGGGGATGGCATCCTGACGGTGTGTCACCCTGACTCCATCACCACCATCAAACACTGGATCACCATCATCCGGGCGCGCTTCGAGGAGGTCAGGACCACTTCAATGGTTCTGAAACGTCTCCAGACATGAATAAATCCCAGTGCGGTTATCTTTGCTCTGCAGGTGCTGACGTGGGCCAAGCAGCACGAGCAGCGGCTGGAGACGGCTCTGGCCGAGGTCCTCAACAACGCCAACCTTCTGGAGGAGCTGTTGTCATGGTTACAGTGGGCCGAGACCACACTGGTCCAGAGAGACACGGAGCCGCTTCCTCAGGACATCCCGCAGCTGAAGACCCTCATCACAGAGCACCAGGTGGGCTTCGTCCAGCCTCAGACTCGCCTCGCCGCTCCAACAGGAAGTGTGGTGTTTAAATTCCCGCCGCTGTTTCTGTTCGCAGACGTTCATGGAGGAGATGACCAGGAAGCAGCCGGATGTCGACAAAGTGACTAAAACCTACAAAAGGAAACCGACCGAGGCTCCCAGCAGCCTGGCCGAGCGGAGAGGAGCTCGTACGTCAGCCGTGTCCAAATCCAAGTCCAGTATTAGATTTCAGTAAAGCGTGGATGTTGCCTCACGCAGCTGTCTCCATCCTGTCCAGGCAAACCGCAGCAGCAGCCTCAGGCGGCGGTGCAGCTTTCAGGAGGAAACCCGCGACTCACCCAGCTGTGCGCCCGATGGCAGCAGGTGTGGCTGCTGGCCCTCGACCGCCAGCGGAAACTCAACGATGCTCTGGATAGGCAGGAGGAGGTACCAACCTTGACTTGTTCCCGCTGTTTCTGCTCAGGAAAGGTCTGGAAGACCAGTGAGTTAACATGTGGAATCTGTTTGCAGCTGAAGGAGTTTGCTAACTTTGACTTCGACGTGTGGAGGAAGAAGTACATGCGCTGGATGAACCACAAGAAGTCCCGCGTCATGGACTTCTTCAGACGCATCGACAAGGACCAGGATGGAAAGATCACACGGCAGGAGTTCATTGATGGGATCTTGGCCTCCAGTACGTTTCCCGCGGATTTTCCCTCTGGCTTCTTTACTCCCTAACTTATAAATTCCTGGTTTTCTTCACCCTGAGCAGAATTCCCAACCAGTAAGTTGGAGATGTCTGCTGTGGCGGACATCTTTGACCGAGACGGAGACGGCTACATCGATTACTACGAGTTTGTCGCAGCTCTTCATCCCAACAAGGACGCCTACAGGCCGACCACGGACGCCGATAAGATCGAGGACGAGGTAGAGGAGAGGAACAAAGAGCACGCAGAGCGAAACGCGAGTCGGTAAAACCGGAACTGAGCGTTGGGTTTTGTTGCAGGTGACGCGGCAGGTGGCCCAGTGTAAGTGTGCCAAGAGGTTCCAGGTGGAGCAGATCGGAGAAAACAAGTACAGGGTGAGTCCGTAAACGTAACGTAGATCTGGGTCAAACGGACTTTACAAGAACACGTTAAAGCCAAAACCATCAGAGAAGAAATGAACAGTAACCACATATAAGATCAAAACTTCACTAATGTGACAGAAGCAAATGAAAGACCCTGGAAGCACAATAAAATGTTTTAGTTTGTTTTTCCTTTGCTCCATTTTTACGTTTTCAGTCTAGAAAATTAAAGAAGTAAAAGTTTTATTTTTATTTGTTTTAGTTTCCAGTAAAAACTCAAACCAGCTTCTGATCAGAAGATGTTTGTTACAGGATTGTAATAAAGTTTGACCCGGTTCTGTTCATTAAAACCGCTGCTTTTGCTGTGTGTGTGTGTGTGCGTGTGCGTGTGCGTGTGCGTGTGTGTGTGTGTGTGTCATCACGCCCATGCATCTTGCATCATATCATTTGTAGGGTCGAGATAATCACTAACAAAACAAACACGTGTGTAACATGTTTGTTCACTACCATGCGTGTGACGTGTCTGTTCACTACCACGCGTGTGACGTGTTTGTTCACTTCCACGCGTGTGACGTGTCTGTTCACTACCACGCGTGTGACGTGTCTGTTCACTACCACGCGTGTGACGTGTCTGTTCACTACCACGCGTGTGACGTGTCTGTTCACTTCCACGCGTGTGACGTGTCTCTTCACTACCACGCGTGTGACGTGTCTGTTCCACTTCCACGCGTGTGACGTGTCTGTTCACTACCACGCGTGTGACGTGTCTGTTCACTACCACGCGTGTGACGTGTCTGTTCACTACCACGCGTGTGACGTGTTTGTTCACTTCCACGCGTGTGACGTGTCTGTTCACTACCACGCGTGTGACGTGTCTGTTCACTACCACGCGTGTGACGTGTCTGTTCACTTCCACGCGTGTGACGTGTCAGTTCACTTCCACGCGTGTGACGTGTCTGTTCACTACCACGCGTGTGACGTGTCTGTTCACTACCACGCGTGTGACGTGTCTGTTCACTACCACGCGTGTGACGTGTCTGTTCACTACCACGCGTGTGACGTGTCTGTTCACTTCCACGCGTGTGACGTGTCAGTTCACTTCCACGCGTGTGACGTGTCAGTTCACTTCCACGCGTGTGACGTGTCTGTTCACTACCACGCGTGTGACGTGTCTGTTCACTACCACGCGTGTGACGTGTCAGTTCACTTCCACGCGTGTGACGTGTCAGTTCACTTCCACGCGTGTGACGTGTCTGTTCACTACCACGCGTGTGACGTGTCTGTTCACTACCACGCGTGTGACGTGTCTGTTCACTTCCACGCGTGTGACGTGTCAGTTCACTTCCACGCGTGTGACGTGTCTGTTCACTTCCACGCGTGTGACGTGTCTGTTCACTACCACGCGTGTGACGTGTCTGTTCACTACCACGCGTGTGACGTGTCTGTTCACTACCACGCGTGTGACGTGTCTGTTCACTACCACGCGTGTGACGTGTCTGTTCACTACCACGCGTGTGACGTGTCTGTTCACTACCACGCGTGTGACGTGTCTGTTCACTTCCACGCGTGTGACGTGTCTGTTCACTTCCACGCGTGTGACGTGTCTGTTCACTACCACGCGTGTGACGTGTCTGTTCACTACCACGCGTGTGACGTGTCTGTTCACTACCACGCGTGTGACGTGTCTGTTCACTTCCACGCGTGTGACGTGTCAGTTCACTTTCACGCGTGTGACGTGTCTGTTCACTTCCACGCGTGTGACGTGTCTGTTCACTACCACGCGTGTGACGTGTCTGTTCACTACCACGCGTGTGACGTGTCTGTTCACTACCACGCGTGTGACGTGTCAGTTCACTTTCACGCGTGTGACGTGTCTGTTCACTTCCACACGTGTGACGTGTTTGTTCACTTCCACGCGTGTGACGTGTCTGTTCACTTCCACGCGTGTGACGTGTCTGTTCACTTCCACGCGTGTGACGTGTCTGTTCACTTCCACGCGTGTGACGTGTCTGTTCACTACCACGCGTGTGACGTGTCTGTTCACTACCACGCGTGTGACGTGTCTGTTCACTACCACGCGTGTGACGTGTCTGTTCACTACCACGCGTGTGACGTGTCTGTTCACTTCCACGCGTGTGACGTGTCAGTTCACTTTCACGCGTGTGACGTGTCTGTTCACTTCCACGCGTGTGACGTGTCTGTTCACTACCACGCGTGTGACGTGTCTGTTCACTACCACGCGTGTGACGTGTCTGTTCACTACCACGCGTGTGACGTGTCAGTTCACTTTCACGCGTGTGACGTGTCTGTTCACTACCACGCGTGTGACGTGTCTGTTCACTTCCACGCGTGTGACGTGTCTGTTCACTTCCACGCGTGTGACGTGTCTGTTCACTACCACGCGTGTGACGTGTCTGTTCACTACCACGCGTGTGACGTGTCTGTTCACTACCACGCGTGTGACGTGTCTGTTCACTTCCACGCGTGTGACGTGTCAGTTCACTTTCACGCGTGTGACGTGTCTGTTCACTTCCACGCGTGTGACGTGTCTGTTCACTACCACGCGTGTGACGTGTCTGTTCACTACCACGCGTGTGACGTGTCTGTTCACTACCACGCGTGTGACGTGTCAGTTCACTTTCACGCGTGTGACGTGTCTGTTCACTTCCACGCGTGTGACGTGTTTGTTCACTTCCACGCGTGTGACGTGTCTGTTCACTTCCACGCGTGTGACGTGTCTGTTCACTTCCACGCGTGTGACGTGTCTGTTCACTTCCACGCGTGTGACGTGTCTGTTCACTACCACGCGTGTGACGTGTCTGTTCACTACCACGCGTGTGACGTGTTTGTTCACTACCACGCGTGTGACGTGTCTGTTCACTACCACGCGTGTGACGTGTCAGTTCACTTTCACGCGTGTGACGTGTCTGTTCACTTCCACGCGTGTGACGTGTCTGTTCACTACCACGCGTGTGACGTGTCTGTTCACTACCACGCGTGTGACGTGTCTGTTCACTACCACGCGTGTGACGTGTCAGTTCACTTTCACGCGTGTGACGTGTCTGTTCACTTCCACGCGTGTGACGTGTTTGTTCACTTCCACGCGTGTGACGTGTCTGTTCACTACCACGCGTGTGACGTGTCTGTTCACTTCCACGCGTGTGACGTGTCTGTTCACTTCCACGCGTGTGACGTGTCTGTTCACTTCCACGCGTGTGACGTGTCTGTTCACTACCACGCGTGTGACGTGTCTGTTCACTACCACGCGTGTGACGTGTTTGTTCACTACCACGCGTGTGACGTGTCTGTTCACTACCACGCGTGTAATGTCACGGAGCTGCAGGATTCTGGATTATTGACGTAAACCTGGAAACGCCGCACCGACACACACCTGGTTTCGGCGGCAACAATTTTACCTCAGAAACTTTTTTAAAACAAATGTTTTCAGATCACCCAAATTTAGTGACGTTTAGACATTAATACATATTTTTATTTATCTGTTAATCTTTTTTTATTTGTTTCGCTTCCTAAAATCCTTCCTGAGGATTTCATGAGTGAGTTTATCCCAAAGTTTCTTCTCAGGAAATGAAAAAAATCCGTTTTTATCATAAACAATCGGCTGATTTGGTGTTTTTGTCTCTTATTGTTCCCCTGCTGGGGAAGAGCAGCCAAAGTTAGAATAAAACTGGAGGCTGAACTCGGCCGTGTGTGTGTGTGTGAGCTGCGTTTCCAGAGGGTATTAACAGTTTTCAGCTGGATCTTCATCACTGCTTCATCCATCATCATCATCACTCTCTGGATGATGGAGCCCGTGTCGGCCTGCTGGAAACCAGAGATACTAACAGTCACATGTTTGTTCTGCATGTTTTCATCTTCACCTGCAGCTCCTCCTCTTCATCATCACCATCAGCTGCTCTAGCACACACACACACACACACACACACACACACACACACACACACACACACACACACACACACACACACACACACACACACACACACACACACACACACACACACCACTAACCGCCAGCCTGAGTTACAGTTTTATGAGTTGTTGCTGATGATTTTTGACCCACGAGGTTTCATTCTGGTTCTGTTTCTTTCTCCTTGTGTCCGTCTGCTCCGCGTCCGCTGGACTTTTTCTAGTTCTTCCTCGGGAACCAGGTAAAGTGACTGCTGCTGCTGATGTGAGCGGACGAGTGAAGGCTGCTCCCTCGTTCCCCACCAGGAGAAGCTCTGCTCACAGATCAGACGTTTGGGTGAAAAGGCTGAAAGTTGGCAGAAGCAGCGGCGCTCCTGTGTGGCGGCGCAGCGAGCGAGCAGGTTTCGCCGTCCGCTGGTGTTGATGCTGTGATTTGATTGGTGTTGAGGGACAAACTGTGGGATGTGAGGCGGGTGACAGAAACACGGCTGAGGTGCTAATTAGTGGTGAGCTGCTGGGAGAGGCGTCAGGATTCCTCCTGCCGGCTGGCTGGAAAAGCTGCTTTGCTGTTGATTTGTAAAAAATTTGGTTAAACTCGACAGATGAAACAATCCTTATGAATGAGATGAAGCTTCGTTTTGATTGGCCGGGGGAATCTGTCCGTGCATGCTTGGTTTTCTCTTGTTGCATGTTTTAGATGCAGGGTTGGCTCCTGGTTTAAAACCGCTCTCCCTCACCGGAACTCTCCTCTGCTCACTTCCTGCTCAGTTCGGCGACTCCCAGCAGCTGCGCCTGGTCCGGATTCTGCGCAGCACGGTGATGGTGCGAGTCGGAGGAGGCTGGATGGCTCTCGACGAGTTCCTCGTCAAGAACGACCCGTGCAGAGGTGAGTTGTGACCACACGCCATCTCGTCTCACTTCGGTCAAGAGCCTGAGTCTGGATCCTCAACGGGAATTCTCGTTTCTGGTGGAAGATCAGAGGCAGGAAGGATCTCTGCAGCGTTTGTCCTCCGGTTGGATCAGATTTGTTGTTTTTCCTTTGTTCTTTTGTAGTTTTTTAACTGTTTGAAGCTCAAAGTTGATTCGGATGTTGAGTAAAAAGGAGGAGGAGCCGGATGGGAAACCTCCTGGGAGAGACGTTTAGCTCTACATCAGCCTTCCTGTAAAAGTGAAGCGTGTCATTAGTCCGATGCTCCAGATGTTTGTCTGGGTCGTCCCGGGCCAGATGTGGCGCGTTTCCAACCATCTCAGATGACCGGAGTTTGTTTGTTTGCAGGTGAAGCAGGAAGGCTTTGTTGTTGTTTTTCCTCAGATCGTTTCTTTTCCCGCCTCCTCCTTCCATCTCCATCTGATCTCCTGGTTTTATGTTTTATTCGACACACGGTCATTCCTCTCCTGGACTAAAACGATAGTTCTGCATGATGCATGGTCCTCAGTTCTCTCCCTCTTCCTTCCCTTTTCTCTTCCTCCCTCCCTTTGTTTTCTCTTTCCTCAGTGCAACATCCAGGACTTAAGATTCTCCGCTCCGATTCCAGTAGCTCCATCTCATCTCGTATAGGTTGGGTTTCTCACCTTTTCTCCTGGTTTTTGTTTGCGTTGGCCTCCAGGTCCCCCGTCTCCACTGTTCGTTTCTCCCCCTCGTCCCCAAAGCTCCTCCTCCTGTTGTTTCTGTGGGCTCTGACCCTGTTGCTGACCTCCTGACCTCCTCTGGCTGTGGCCTCCTCCCGACGCTTCAAAATTTCAATGTTTCCATTTTTAATGTTTCAGGGGTGTGTGTGTGTGTGTGTGTGTGTGTGTGTGTGTGTGTGTGTGTGTGTGTGTGTGTGTGTGTTTCTTGTAGTGACAGTCACTCCTGGCTATTTCTGCTGCCGAGGTATCTACTCGTCCTCCCTCTCTCTCTCACTCCATCTCCTCACATCTTCACTGTCCATCAGTCCGTCCAGCTGTCAGCCTCCATCTTTAACCACAGCTGTCTGTGTGAGGGGTGGGACCCTCTGATGACCCCTGATGCAACCTGGCTGCGCCGAGTAGAGTTCAGATGATGATAATAATAACAATAATAATAATAACAACAACAATAATAATAATAATAATAACAATAATAATAATAATAATAGACAATTTTGTGACTTTATGGGAACTAAATATTTTTTGGCCATAAATTAAAACACAGAATAAAATATTTTTTTCAGCAGCTCAAAAACACAAAAGATAGTTTTAAATCTAATCACCCCTAACCCTCCACAAGCCTGGAGGAGTTCTGCTGTGTGGTGAAGTAGCTAATGCTAACAGTTAGCTTCTGCTAACTGCTGTTTCCTGGACGCTAAACCAACAATAGCCTTCCCCGTCGTGAGTCCAGATGGGTGAGTCCATGAATGTAAGTGACAGGGTGACGTAGATCTGTCAGGATTTTCTAATCCTAGAGTTTCACCGTCTGTTTTCTATCAGAAGCTAACGCTAATGCTAGGTGTAGGAGACTATTATGTTCAGCCTGTGTTAAACACTCAGAGCGACCCGTTAGAATCAGACATAATCATTAAAAATGTTCTGAGACCTTCTGGACCAAGTTTCTTGTTGGTAGCAGTATTTTCTCCCACCCCTACTCCGCGCGCGTGTGTGTGTGTGTGTGTGTGTGTGTGTGTGTGTGTGTGTGCGTGCATGCGTGTGTGTCCACATGTTGGCATCATGCTTCCTTTCACTCCCAACAGAAACAGGATTTTGGCCTGTTTCTGGTCTTTAGCATCTTTAAAGCTTCGGGGGAAAATCTGAATAAACTAGTGTGACTTCCTGTCAGGTACAGATGTTGTGTAACAGGAAGTGGGCGGGGCCTAAGACCTGGGCAGGGCCAACCTGGGTCTGTAATAGCGCTTAGTTCCAGCTGCACCTGGGCGATGGCTGTGGACGCTCGCCTTGCACCCCCACCCCGCGCTGCGACTGGCTTCTTGTCGTCTGCTGCTGCTGCTGCTCTACTTCCTGTCTAACATCATGGCTCGCTGAGGAGTTTTCATGTCAGGAGTTGTGATGAGAACCTGTCCTGGTCATTTAGATTTGCTGAAGTCGTTGCCACGGGTTTAAACCAGGTGTTTAAAACCGGTGAAACCATGAGAATCCGTATTTTGTTTAACCAGGAAGTTCTGCTGAAGGTTTGAGCAGATTCTAAACTTTAGAGACACAAACCGGCTGATGAAGCAGCTTCAGGCTGTCCCACCTGTGAGGACGGAGCTGACGTCTCCACCTTTTCACTCGCTGCTCTTCACTTTCCTTCTGCGCGGCTAAACCACCCTCCACAAGCACTCGCTCTGCTCACGTGCACTCTCAAATTCAACGCGCTCCACCTGTGATGTCTGCAGCCGAGGAAGCACCGACTCTTCCTCCCATGCTGCTCGCTGCCTCTGCCGCCCCCTGCTGGGGAAGAGCAGCCACACCTGATTAATGTTTCTGCTGTTTCTTGTGTCTGCAGCTCGCGGCCGCACCAACCTGGAGCTGAGGGAGAAGTTCATCCTTCCTGAGGGAGCCTCTACGGGCCTGGCTGCCTTCCGATCCCGGGGCCGACGCTCCAAACCAGGCTCCCGTAACGCCTCCCCCACCCGCTCCTCCTCCTCAGCCTCCCACAGTGGCGCCTCCCTCCCCTCGGCGCCCTCTGCCCCCGCCACCCCGACTGCCTCGGCGTCATCCAGGGTATTGTTTTTCTTCTGTTTCCTCTCCTCACGCCTCGGCGACGTTTTTAACGTTATTTACCTCTCAGCCGGTGGTTCGGTCGCGTTCATCCTCACTGGCTCAAACATGTCGGTGTCTTCGTCTAAAGATGTTCTCCATTTGTCAGAAGTGCTGTGTGACGCAACAACAGCTCTTCCTGCTTTAGTTCTACAGTTTTGCATCTCGTCACCGGAGGCTGAACAACAGCCGACCCAAAGGCTGCTCCGGAGCGTTCACGCGTGTGTTAGCACAACGGTTCAGGGCTGAGGCTTAATGTCTCCAAAGCTGAACCAGAGCTCCTCCAGGAGCACGCGAGACTGATGAGGTCAGACAGAAGAAACGGTCAGAATGAGTCTGATTTGGTAGCGGGGGTCAGGGTCAGTCATCCAGTTAATGTGAATAATCTGGCCAAGAGTCAGCAAAACCGTCCAATCATGAGGCGGGAATTACGGTTGTCTTTCAGACCGTCTCTGCACGCTATTGGACAGCGCTAGGACCAATCAGAGCAACAAGCACCTTGATGTAGTCCGCCTTACACCGTTGAGGAAGACACGAATCCGCCCTTTTCTGGTTTAAAGGTGCATTATGTAGAAATGAAGGAAAAATGACGTCCTGCGGTAAAATGTGCTTACTGCAACAACTCTGACACGTGTTCTCACTGTAACACGCTATGCTTACATACTGCACCTTTAAGGACTGATAAAGTGCCCCTTTCTGCTCTCCACTTAAAGAAAAGCCCAAATCATAGTTGATGCCAAACAAACGCCGCCATCTTTGTAGTTTTTCTCTGGTGCTAAGCCTGTCCTGCAAACACAGGACTGTGATTGGTCAGATACTAAACTGCTCAGGCCAATGGTGGACCTGCTGAGGCTACGGTGGATCGCGGCTAGACCTGCAGGTTAAGTGTTTTTGCTGCAGCCGCTCTAAGTTTCCAGGCTACTGATGGAGCTTTTTTCCTGCATAAATCAGCTAAAATTAACTTGGAACATTAAATTTATTCTTATTTTGTTTGAAATCTGGTCTCAAAATCTTCACTTTAGATTTGTTCTCATTGAAACTGAACTGGTGGAGGTTGTAGACGCGCTGCGGACTCTGATTATTGGGTTAGGGTTAAAAGTCGAGTTGTTGCCGTGTGAAACTGTAGACTTAGCAGGACGCTGGTTCGTTTTTCGGTGGTTTTATGTTGTTTATCTGTTGTCATCCTCTTGTTGTCCTAAACTGTGACATTTTCTTTTTGTTTGTTTTTTCTGTGTTCTGCTGCTTTTCCTGTCATTAAATCCTGCTAAAACGTTCCTCCGACTCTGTCGGTTTCACTCTTTAAAAATGAAAACCATTGGCTTCAACAACAACCTCCTCCCCCTCCTCCCCCTGCCCTGCGCTGCTCTGCTCTGCTCCTCCTCTCCCTCCACCCTTCAGTCCTCCCTCACCCACTCGCGTGACTATGCCAAGCCCTGGCTTGCACACAGTAAAACTCCAACGCCAACCAAGTGCCACTGCTGCTCAGACCTCGGTCACAACCACTGCACCCCTGGGCACGAGGTAACTCACTCACCCCCTCCCCCACCCACTCGCCTTCCGCCCCACCCGACTCCTCGGAGCGAGCTACAGCACTAACACTCAGGTGTTCGGACGGACCTGAAAGCTTTTAAAACGTGGCTCGGCTCATTTCTACCCAAACAACAACAAAAACCTCAGATTTTACTTTTATTTCTAATTATTTTATTTTTTTTAAAATAAATTGTTCTAAAAATATAATTTTTGTGTTTTCAAGTCTGACTAGTCCTAGTCACCCAGGAGGTTCAAACAAACCGGCTAAATCAGAGTTTAAATAAGAATTTAGTCTTATTGCTGTTTTTCTGTCGTGTAGATTTTACAGGATTGAACTTTGACCTTTCGCTGTCCGTTTAGTGTTGATGTGACGTGTTTTTTGTTGTAGATTAAACGATAAATTTCTGCGTAAAATTCACTTGTTTACCAATTCCAGCAGAGCCATCTGGGTAATTCCTGTGTTCTCCTGCAGGGGGCGACATCCGGGTCCAAACTGAAGAGGCCCACGTTCCATTCCAGCCGAGGCTCGCTGAGCGGAGAGAACGGAGGAACGACGCACGGCAGCAAGCGAACAGGTGCGACACGTGGCTTTTTCCCTGAACGCGAGTCTAAAACGTACGAACCAGCTGAAAGCGGTCGGCGTTTTTGTTTCTCGTGAACGAAGATTTGTTTGTTGTTTATTTGAGAACAACATTCTAAATCACTGCAGAACAGGTGGAATACGAGTTTTCACCAAAACTGATTTCTTTTAAATGTGTGCATTTTTATACATGCAAAGAACCTTTTAGGCGTCACCCAAAGGGGGCGGGGTCATCTGCAGAACCAGGAAGTGATGCAAAGAATTTGATTGTGCGTTCTACACTTGGAGGCGTGTCCTGATTTGGCATCCAATGAAGTTTTTATCATTTCTGCTAAACTTGATTTTTGTAGGCGGGGCTTAAAGCTGCAGTGTAGCGCCGCCGCCGCCGCCGAAACCCTGACCCCGTGAGCTAAACGTCTCCCTACAGAACCAGAGCAGCTAGCTTCCTGTCTGGCTGCTCCGAGCCGAGAGCGGCGTTTCGTGCACCTAGAGGGTGTAATGAGCAGCGGGGCGAGACGGGCTGTGGTCCAGTCGTGTCAAAAACATTTCCAGAAATCTGGCTAAAAACGTCTCCGACCGCACCTTTAACCGCGCCGCTGAGGCCAGCCAATCAGACTCGTTGTGACTCACCACTTCAGGAGAGTTTTATTGTTTCACATACAGACTGACTTTAGATGACCTGTTTTTAAACCTTTACCCTCAGATCCAAAGCGAGGAGCTGCAACAGCCAGCGGTCCAACCAGCCGCGCTGGCAGCAGAGCTGGCAGCAGGGCCAGCAGTCGCCGTGGCAGCGACGCCTCTGACGCGTCAGAACTTCAGGACGCTCGCTCCGTTTGCTCCGACACTTCAGACACCCCGAGACGACCTGGCAGCGGAGCCAAACCCTCCAAGATCCCGACCATTTCCAAGAAGACCCCCAGCCCAAAGACCCCGGGATTGGTAAAGAAGTAAACCTGAGGTCGGGGTGTCATGGCCGTCGTGCACGCACCAGCGTCGCTCTGGACTTCCATCCAGAGGGCTCGTCTAGAACTTCTGCGCTGTGACTGAATTTTTATGTTTCCTGAGGGAAGCGTGAGACGTATAGTCTGAGTGAGTGTCCGTCTCACCTCTCCCCGTCTCTGAGATAGACTGAACTTGCACAAGAGTCTGGGGTCAACACTGACTTTATGCCTTCAAGACCCCGTTTGCCTCCCAGAGCGTCCCCTGGTGGCGGGGAAGCAAACACCGCCTGACCTGACGTGATGCTGCCTTACTTCATGCTGCACACTTTGTCCTGATGAGCCGGAGTGCCGGACGGACTAGCTAACCCGTTTCTCCAGAGGGGGGGGGGGGGGGGGGGGGGCGGCCTCCACCACAGCTGCACAAACACAAAACGGAGAGAACTGTGGGTGAATTTTTTTTGGCTTGTGGGCCAGATGCCTCAAGGATGGGTCAAAAAAGAAAATATGCAACCGACTGCCATGTCGTTTCCCTGGGCTGGCTGGCGAGAAAACAGCCACTTCAGCAGCGGTGAGCTGAGCTAGGAGGCAGACAACGCCGTCTGACGCACACAGGCGGTCAGAGGATCGGTGGCGGTGCAGCGGAGAGCAAACACACTCACGCCGACTCCTCCCAACCGCCGGAGATCAGCCTCACGTCTGCTTTCCAGCTGAGCGCTGCGTGGCGTCCTCACAGAATAATCACACGCTAGCAGTAGACGACTAACAGCACATTACTGACGACACGTGTGACCTAACCGATGGTGACAACCAGCATGCACTAACTGTCTGTTGCCCTTAGCGACCCCGTTGCACACACACACGAGGAGCATCGTGTGTGTGTCTGTTACCGGAAACAAGAGGTCATTGACTTGAGTCACTGTATGCAAATGTTTTGTTTTTGTTTGTTTTTCTGATTAATTTATAATCCAGTTGGACGTTTGTTGTTTAGCTTGAAAGAGATTTATTTATTTTCGGTTTCCTGTCGGCGATGGCGGCGAGTTCCGGTACCAGGGAGGCTCCGGTCCGGTTCTGTTGCAACACGGTGATCAGCAGCAGCCTTATCGAGAACGCTCTTTAGTGACGACCACGACCTGACCAAAGGGGTTTGCCCTTCATCTGCAGAGAACTACAAATATGGATGACAGAGGGTCGTGTCCCTCCCCGGCGACTCTTCTAGACTCTTCCTGTCCAAGGCGGGGCCGCTGTCTCGTCTTCTCCTCGTAAGAGATTATGAAACTAATGAAGTGACCGTAAGACGACATCTTAAGGTGATTTTTATTTATTTGTCTCTCTGGGGGGGCACACGGGGGAGGAGTACCTACTTTTGAGGATGCACTCTTACTGTGGTGATGGGGGGGGGGGGGGGGTAGTACATGTGTAAAATTAAACGAACTAAAATTATAAACCTTTTTCTGTTTTTGTATTAAAATATGCTTGCAGTACATCTGACTCTGGTCTTGATTTGATCTCAAACGTCTGGTTTGGTCCGTGGCTCGGGACGATGGACGATCGGTGGAAAACACACAAATCTGATTTATTACAGTTAAATTTTTATGGAGTTTATTTTATTAGCTAAATCTCTGCACAGACATGAGTAATCCAGCCTAAAAGGTTAGATTAATCTATGAGAAAGACGCCGACAAATCCAGATGTTCCAGCCTGTATTTGTTATAATCGTGATGGTTACGGCTCACAGCTGATCTCATAACTGGAATATTGTGAAAAGGCTGAATATCTGAGTCCAGAAGGGTGGTCAGCACCGAGGAGGTTATTCTGGTTTAGGGGTGGGGGTCCAATAATCCCAGTATTACAGTATTTTTTTATTCATGGTTAACCTCATTTGTATGGGTCCTCCTTTCCTCCTCATCTAGAGCTGCCTCCACGCTCAGGACCGTTTTCCCAGCAGCTCTTTGCCAGGCCGACATTTTTATTCCATTTTCAGATTGCAAACCTATAACTATAAAAATGTGTTTGGTGTTCCCGATGAAACGATTGGATAAGTGAACTGTGGAGGTTTTAGATGTTCAGATGTTGGAGGCGTGGCGTGAAGGCCAAACGCGTGTGTGTCACGCTCGGCGCGCCAGAGTTGGCAGCCCTGCTCCTGAAGCCGTTTCTCCCTCCCGGGTGTAGTGATGGGAATTCCGGCTCTTTTTAGAGAGCCGGCTCTTTCGGCTCCCAAGTGGCTCCTCAGATTTTCTGTTGCGTTGAGTACATTTATAACCAAAATAATGCTAAACTATATGTAAAATGATTTACTAATGTAAAAAAATGATATATATCAAATATTTATCATTTATATGGATGTAATAACTGAACACTTTAAGAAATCTCCACTTTCCGACTGCTGGCGCTCATTTTCTCACCGTCTTCGTCGCACTCTCCTCTCTCTCGCTCGCCTTTTTCCTCCTCCTCATTCCCTCTCGTCTCCCTCCGCCCGCACGTTCTCTGCTGTGTGTCTGAGTCTGATCCTCCCTCTTCCCCGCCCCTACTGCTCTGTGTGTGGACAGTCTGGACACATGTTGACCTGTAGCTTTCACCAAAGCACGAGTGGAGGGGGGAGGGAAGGGGACGGCTCTCGTCGTTCACTTTAAAGAGCCGGCTCTTAGAGCCGGTTCGTTCGCTACCGACACATCACTACCCGGGTGTCGTTGGGCGGAGGAAGCGGGAAGCGCCGCGGTTTGGTGAGACACAACCTGGAGGTCCAAGCCGTGGTTTTGGTGGAAGTTTTTAGAAAACTGAGAAAGAACCACTTTATTATTTAAAATCTCCTCCACGACATATTTATAGCGCTACGCTAAGAACGCTAAGAGGCACGAACATGTTTAAGCTAGCTTGTTTAGCAGATTTGCTGTTGTAGCTTTGAAAGAGTAAAAATGTCTGAACTCCTAATAATTCACTTTTATTTAGAAATAAATTATTGTTAAAAATTCAGGAAACGCTTTGAGCTTCCAGCGGTGAACCCAGCGGAGCTTTCAGGGCGGGTCAGACAGGAAGTCGAACACAAAAGCAGCGTAAAACTTCCTGAAACTTTCAAAACAAAAGTCGGGTGCAGATTTCCAGTTGCTGGAACTTCCGTAGCTGAGGTAAACAGGACGGGAAATGAACCACGGAGCTTTTGGGGAGTGCTGAAATCACGCGAGGTGTTGCGACTCTCCTGTGATTTTATGACCAGCTGCATGGAATGATTCAGCTGCCGCTGGAACGCTCCCGGTGGGAAGCTCGCGGGTGTAATGCTGCGTATGCCCTGGACAGTTTGGTTCGTCTGAGTTGTCAGACAAGATTTATTTAATTTGAAAGTTGATCATAACGAAGTCCTTGCTGGTTCGGGTGATCTGCTGGAGGACCACCACCAGAACCAGGATGCACTCCACTGGCTATAGAGGGTCATAACTTTTGTTGTCTTTAGTAAAAGTTTTCTGACCTTTTTTTATTGCTTATAATTTCATATTTTACTGATAAAAATGTCACATCATTAATATAAAGGAGCAGTTTTAGGGAGTTTAACAGATGCAGCCTTCAGGGTAAGGAGGTTTCTCCATGACTGAGATGTTGGAGGTACAGACGCATCCGGCTGGATCTTCCGGTCTCTGCAGAGCCGAAGTGAACCCGGCAGCAGACTCTAACGTTGTTTCTGCTTAAAAGTCCTCCCTCTGCAGCTGTGTGTACACTCTCACTCGGTCTCCGTCCTTCCTGCAGTCCATTCGTCATCCTGGACGTCTCCGTCTGATGACAAGTCTTCCCTCTGTTTCACCACGTCTTCCTCCCTGGAACGCCAGTCGGTTTTTTATGTCTTTGGTTTCAAGGGCAGACATTCCCTCTCTTTTTTCTCCTCCTCCTCTTCATTCTCTGCCCTTCATCTGTCCAGATAAATCCTGTAAAAGCTGCAGATGTGTGGAGAGACGTAAACCAGCACTAGCAGAGTGTTAATTCCTGGCATTTCGGGACTCGCCCTTTGGCTTGGGGCAGGGAGAACGCCGGCCGCTCTGGTTTGGTCCGTGTTATTCGTGCCATTCAGAGAGACCGCGAGACCCGGGCCGCTTTGAAGAGCAGAGAGCACAAACATGAGCGGGCGCAGGGCTGAACCTCGGCTATTTCTGAATCGTTTCTCCCCTCCGAGCCCTTCTGCTGTGGATCCCTACGTGATCGAGTGTGTCGGCGTTTGGTCTGCTGCAGGCCGGCCGTCGTTAACTCATCAGCAGCTCAAGTTTGTAATCAGCTCTGAGTGTTTGCATCCAGCAGCTGTTGTAGATAAATAACAGCCTCGCAGAACATTTACAATCAAAGAGAGCGTCGGGCTGCCAGAGACCCGACGCCGAGCTGCAATGAAAGGAAGCAGTCATGAGCAGATGAAAAGATAGATGGGCGGAGGGAAGCAGGAGAGAGATGAGGTCTCCCAGAGAGACCGCTGGGAGGGAGATGATGAAGGGGAGAGAAGTTAAAAGAGGAGGAGGAGGAGAAGCTGCGGCTTGGAGGGCAATTAGCTCCCTCCTGCTCGCGAACAACTTCTCAGGAGTCACTCTGCAAAGCTCACGGAGAAGAGGAGGAACATCTCAGCTGCTGCAGTCAGGAAAGAGCTCCTAGTCCGGATTAGGCTCGTTGGGTTAGGATTAGGGTTAGCGTACAGGCTCCAGCTTGTTTGTGACTGCAGCAGCAGACCTGATGACGAGGCTCTCTAATTCCACTCCTGCACCTGAAATTACTGCGCATCCTCCAAGTTTACAGCTTCAAAGTCTGAAGCCGTTTTCTGTTTGCCTCTGCTGAAAACGGCTCCCAAAGCGTGTAATTATGTTGCTGCTGCGCGACTGAGAGCAGGGAGAGAGGCGGACTGGCTTCAGACTCTCGGATTAGAGGAGGTGGAGGAGTAAACAGAGGCAGTAAACACATCCTGTCCACAGCCGGAGCTCGTCCAAACACTCCCGGAGGAGCCTACGCTCCAGAAGCCTCCTTTAGGATGACCCTGCATCACCTCCTCCATCTGCAGAGCGCCTCCACCTTGCTCCTCCTGCTCCTGCTCTCCGTCTCGCTGTGGAGTCAGCAGGCCGAGGCCGTGGTCCACTCCAGCTTCAGACGCCTCAGTGGCCGTGAGAAGAAGGAGATGCAGAAGGAGATCCTGAACATCTTAGGCCTGCCGGGGCGACCCAGGCCCCACCCGCCGCTTCGGCCGCCTTCCTCCGCGCCGCTCTTCATGCTGGATCTGTACCACGCCATGTCGGCCGAAGACGAGAACGAGAATGAGGTGAGCGGACCTGGAATAGGGAGGTTTGGAGCAGCTGCAGCAGCGCAGGTCAGCTACGCGGCCATGCCGACCCTCAGCACGCACACGCCTCCCCTGGGAGCGGTGGTCAGCGAGGCCGACACCGTCATGAGCTTCGTCAACCTGGGTGAGTGAGGGCAACCGGGTGATCTTCATAAAAACAAAGGTTTCTCAGAGCTGATACCGGCTCTTCTACCGAACCGCTCCGGTTTCATCAGCTTTGGCCGATTCTGGTTCACCGAAGAAAACTGGGACTGCTTTAGTGTCCGAACAGCTTTAAGAATCTGATTCTGGATGTCGGGTTTGAGGGTCCTCCTCCAGTTCTGTTGGCAGATAAACTAAAGAAATACACAAATAAGAATAACAAAACTGGAGAGGGAAACATTTGTACTTATTTTAATGTATTGCGGAAGTATCGGATCGGGACTTGGAATCAGAAAATACTCTACATGAAATGACTCGGACTCGGTAACGAATGTGATCGGAACATTCCCGTGTTTGTTTCACCAACTCTAGACAGATGCCAGATTTTAACGCTGATCCCAAAGTTGAAATTTAATGATCGGTTCAATTCAGATTTCTAAAACCGATTTCGCTTCAGTCACCTTGTGCATCAGCTGACGTCTTTAGCATGAAAATGGGGCGGAAAACATCTGGATGTGAAAATCATCCCAAAGAAACCGGCGACACAATGCGGCCATCGGCTGACCTCGACATGTTGGCGTCGGTATCAGCAATAGAAAAACCCAATATCGGTCAGCATCTGATGAGGACTGCTGTTATCGGTCCGGTTTCCACATCGGTGCACCCCCGACCGTTACTGTAATGAGCTGTGTCCGTTTATAGATCAGACCATCTGGCTCTTCTAGATTCCATCTTCATGCTAGTTCGTGTGGCGTCTGGTCTCGTTGGGTTTGTCAGACAAACCCAGCTGTCAGCGGTTCTTATTTTTGTCTCTTGGATGTGGCGGAGATGCTGTTGGCCTCCAGAACCCGTGGGTCCGTCTGGCCGATGCCTATCTCCCTGTCAGCATGAAAGTTAAACATCCTCTTCCCAGCGGCTTCCTTCCTCTCTGCTCCTCTGGGGTTTGGACGGTGAGCCGTGCTCACTTCACCGTGGGAATAATCTGTCTGCTCAGACACGAGCTCCTCTCGGATTAAGGGTTTCCTGTTTCAGAGCTCTGCTCTGTGAGGCAATCCCGTCTCCGCCTCCCATCCAAACAAAAGGATTTCACAAGTTTGTTTCAGGTTGGAAACCTTTTGCATCAGGTGTGTGTGTGTGTGTGTGTGTGTGTGTGTGTGTGTGTGTGTGTGTGTGTGTGTGTGTGTGTGTGTGTGTGTGTGTGTGTCATGGGACAGAA